TTGTGCCCACATCAAGTTTTGTCTTGCCCCAACCCCCGTCCTGTTTTCTTTCTGAAGGCACACTGATGGAGCACCTTGGCCAGTGGCCCAGCTCCGCGCCTGGGTGCCTTGGCTGGCTATCAAAGAGCTGCATTGGCTACCAACCCAGCAAACCACAGCGACAGGAAAAAGTGCAAGCCCATGGGTGGGAGCCCATTTGTGCTTGGGAGCAGCTCTAGCTTATAATCCCCCTTGGGACAACTTTGCCTTATTAAGAGGTGAGCAATATGAGCTTCCAGAATGATTGGTACCAGCTGTCGTATCTGAAAGGTAGTTGTGCAAGGCTTTGCATTAGGAAGAAGAAATGTTTGTTTGCAGACGTCTGCTTCAGCGAGTGTGGGTTGATAAGAGAAGCACTCCTTTAGTCCTTCCCTCTTCCTGATGTCTGGAAATCTCAAACAGGATCCACGGAACTGCTTCTGGCATCACGTCCCTCCCCCGGGATGGGTCAGGGAGCCCCACCACCTCCTCCTGCTTTCCCCTGCAGGGCTCCTCGCAGGGAGGGTGAGCTGAGTGGGGCTCTGCCTGACCCCGGCTGGTGCTTGGGGCTGTTCTGCTGCAAGCTCCCTGCTTAACACCTTAATGAAACACATACCTTCAGCCTCCAAAGAGCTTGCCACGCTGCTAGCCTTGGCAACCAGACTCTGCTTTCTGCTGCCTGAGCTGGACAGGGCTAGCTTTGCCGCGGGGGGATCGGCTGCGCTTTGCCGAGCACATTGCAGAGTCTCGTTCCCTCTCTATCGACAGGCAATAGTCGTGACTCACGCTGGCTTGATGGTGTCTAAAAACCACAGGTTCATTATCCACCATTAGGTGTAACCGTTTGTGGTAGCAAAGGCAATGACTTTTGGAGGGATGTGAAAGGAGATTAAATGTTTCTATCTGATAATTCTCAGGCCTGCAGTGCTCTGCTCTGCTCTCAGCAGTTTCCTCTCAGCTAGGGAGCAAGAGCCTGGCAGATGACGGGCACGGATGAGGCTAGCTCCTCCCCAAGGGGGACCAGGGCACTTCCATCAGCTTTGCCACGATGTCCCTTGTTTTACATGGGCAGGGAGTGGGAAAGAGGAAGGGATAAAGGAAGGGATACACAGTTTATGCAGTAGTGTGGCTCAAACGAGATGCAGCAGCAGTTGAGATTACTTTAAAATTGTGGAGGAGCCGGTAATTACTGGCTGATGACTGTATGCTGTGTAATGGGTCTCATGGGAAGGCCTTTGAGGCACAGGTCAGGAGGTCCCCATGAGTCTGGGAAGCAGAGCGCCCCGTCCCTCCGGAGTCGGAGACTTTCTCCAGCAGCTGCCAGCTCCAGGCCTTGCACTTCAGCAGCTCACGCTGCAGCCGGCTCTGAGGGGAGACCCAAAACCTCAGCACAGTGATGTGGATGAACAGAGCTGTAAGATGCAACTCTAGCACCATCTACAAGCTCCTACGAGGCCATAACAACCCCAATAGCAAAACTGAACATTTCTCCTATGCAGGAGACTCAACTTTGTGGAGAAAGGGGCTGCAAGACACGAACAGAAGCTGATGGCTCAGAAACTTACTGGTGAGGATAATTAGTCCCTTGAGTAATTAAGCTCTGGAATGGAATTGTTTCAACCTTTATTTGAAGACAAGTGTGTGTACATGTATATGTAGGTCAGAGGAATCAGTGTGTGAAAGTTTCTTGCAGTTTTTATGCTGGTGAACACGTCTGCTCAAAGACAGGGAAATGGATAATTCGGCAGGGTCCCCCCCTCCCTCGAGACACCGCGAGGTCAAAAAGAAAAGTTTTATTAGCTTTTATGGAAGGAAACACATTCTCACTTCAGCTGGGGAGTGTGAGAACACCAAGCTAGGGTCTGAGTGTCGGTGCCTGGCAGTGCCAGTCAGGAGTAAAAGCCCCAAATGCCCCTCACAGCTGGGGAGCAGCACCCTGTGGGCACAAGCCAGCCCACGGACTCTCAGTCCTGAGGAAAAGCTGAGTAACTGCTTCAGCCAGGGAGGTTTCCCCTGGGGCTGGGGAGGGATGTTTGTAAAACCTGCCCACAGCATTGTAATATGCACGGGAAAAGCTTGCCGAGCCCCAGATTTCCTGAGCTGCCTTTGTCACCTGTGCCTGCAGGAGCGGGTGGCCAGGGAGCCGAGGCAGGTGGCAGCAGGGTGCCCACGGAGAGCAAAGCTCCAGAGCACCAGGAGGATCTGCAAAGAGCTCAGCGCCGACAGCCTGAAGTCTCAACCCTTCCCAGTGTTTCTAAGAGACGTAAAGTAACATTCGTATGCCTGTAGTATAAATACATAAATAGTTTTAAACATTAGACTTTGGAGCGCACAGTCAGCGGGCAACTGCTGAAATGTTGCTGGGATTCACTGGGAGCCAGGCGGTCAACTCGCCCTTGAAGTCTGCCCCACTTCAAGCAGAAATACAGCAGCTGCTGGCTGCGTCAGGGCACGTGCAGGGAATGGCTGAGAGCGCTCTGTCCCTCGACTCTGGCAGAAGCCAGGCAGGTCAGTGCACGGGCACGTCGTGGAGGTTGGGTCTGTGAACCTCTCCGGGGTGAGCACCTTGGCAGCAAGGGCTCTGCTGCAGGACCTGTGTGAATCCTCCCAGCAATGAGCAGGTTGCACTCGGTCCATTAGAGAGAACCCACCAGACTGAAAGCCTTCATCCTTCTCTTCCAAATTTTGTGTGCCTGGATCAGTTTTTGGTTGAGCCAGTCTGCGTGTGTCTGCTTGAGGGAGATTGTCCTTCAACTTAACACCTCTGAGAGCTGGTGTCAAGATGTAAATGTCCTACCAGACACTCCCTCGGCTCAGGCTTCAGTGCTCTGCCAACAGCTGGAACAGCCAGCAAGCCTCCTCTCTCAAAAGCTGTTCCTACAGATCTCACAGTCACTGCAGGGCCTGCGTTCCTGCTGTCCAGTGCAGTCAGATGGCTGCAAAGAAAGTCCCTTGCTGCCTCTTTCCCTTCTCCTGGCTTGCCAGGCAAAGGGCTGCTAAGCAGATCTGTTCCCCTCATTCTCCAAATCTCTTTAAGACACTTGAGGTGTCTTCCTGATTTAACAGACCTTTATTTTAGCAAATATACAGAGCGTTTGTACTATATGCAGATACTGTCAAATAAATAGAGAAACCCAGAGGTTCTCTGAATATAAGCTAAGCTTGGGAGGCTTTCTTTGGCTTTCATCTCTGTTTTCCTCAAGGACTTCACACGTGCCTTTCTCCAGCATCAGAAAGATCCATCCTACTGCATAGAGCTCCAGAGATGAATGTGGCGTGCACTACATAAAGCCCATTTGCACTGTGATTTACCTGCACTCCCGCTGAGGCTTTCCACAGCCCCAAAAGGAGAGGCTAGAGCAGTTTGCCTGTCCAAGTACAGCCTGTGAGAATGAGTCTCCCACGTGTGAACGTATCAGTAGGAAAGGCTGTACTTTACACGTTACGTTTCATGCGTCATCTTCTACGGGGAGCAAAAGTCGGGTTCTAGTAGCACGAGGCTAAATGACAAGTCCATGACAGTGACATTCAAGCTGGTCCACAGGGTGATGTTGATTGGGGCAAACAAGTAGAGCATCGTGACGAGATCTACCGTGCTGCTGCTGCCCTGGATGGTTTGCTCCCAGAGGGGCTCATTGGTCTTGTTTTCCGTATTCCTCATCATCAGCTTCAGTGAGCTGTTGTCATCCAGGTCGGAGGAAAGCTTGGCATTCAGGGACACCAGGTAGGGGCCGTCACAAGTGATCATGATGGAGCCATTCCGGATAGGAATAGAGCCGAACTCTGCACTGAAATTCATGGCCACTCCTTTGATGCTTTCACCTGGAATGGAAGAGAGGAAAGATGATCCCGTGAAGACAAAAGTCTTCTTGGAAGGGGGCAGTTTTGTACAGACTGCCTGCAGGAAGGGTGGAAAAACACGGGAAAGGCAGAGGCTGAACTAGAGAATAGGGCAGACTGGAGCTGGGATATCACCCATTCTAGACACGCACAGTCTGCAGTGGAATTTTCCAGGTTCCCATTCCTGAGCAAGCTGTGCTTTGGACTAAATCTTCAGTTTATATGAATTATTCCTCCATGTTTCTGTTTATATACTATTTATTTGCTGTATTGCTTAATTACAGTACAGATGTATTTACGTAAGTAAGGCATCCCCGTGAGTTTAGAAAATACAGCTTCCTCGACAGCACAGAAAATAAAAACAGTAAATAAGAGGAGAGGAATGTTATCAAAGCTGGAAGAGGGAGGAAAAGAGCTTTTTATGGGTGGGCAACAAAATTCCCTGTCTTTTGTGGGGGTATTTTTTGAGAAGATGGGATAAAAAAGCAGTGTAGAAAGGAACAGAAGAAATGAATGTACACGGATTAGAATCAAGGAAATTAAACCAAAACTCTATCATGAAAGGTTTTCTCCTGGAACGAGCAGTGACAGTTCCCAGAGCTACTCTGGAAACATCTCCCTGCTGTGCCGTGGAAGGGCTTACACCCTGGGGATGCTGATGAGAAAACTTCACCAGAAGGTCTCCTGTCAGGCAACACAGCTGCTCCGGGCTGAGGGCAATTTCTCAAGCTTTTTTTTTTTTTTTTTTTTTTTTTTTCTCTAGAATCATGTGTTTCTATTAGGTTAGCTTCATTGTGACCCTCCCAATGTTCCCTGAAGGTAAAACTGCCAGCAATGTTTTAAGTATGACTTGAAAATTTTAGTCACTCCTATTGCTGAGGTGTGTCACGGGGCAAAACACACAATGTGCTCAGCACACAGAGCGCTGCTATTTCTGCCACCCTTCCCCAGGAAATCATTTACATTTTTCATAAATCAGGAAATCATTTACTTGTTTCAGAAATACCCCAAGAACATGCTGTGCGTACTCAGTAAATTCTCAAAAATGCGTTTTTTGTACTTTCACAGAGCGAATGCTTGCTTCAGTGTGTAAGTACGGACTGCAGAAAGCCACTCCAATTTCCCATGTTTCTTCCCCTCAGGGAAAACCCCGATGTTTGGTTTTGCACCTCGCAGCTCTGCCCCTCATCCCCCAGCTCTCCTGGCCCCGTCCTCTGCCACCGCCGTGACACCAAGAGCTTTACGGCCCGACAGGCAGCTGGAGCCCCAGGGGCACCGAAGGGACCTGTCCAGGAAGCGTGAGCAGCACCCCGAGAGACCCCAGCCCGGCCGCCCACCCACCTGCGTAGCGGATGTAGGTCCACAGGACTTTGTCACTGCGAGGCTGAAAAAAAGGAAGAGAAATCCTCGTTAACGCAGCGGGGCTATCGCTTCTGCCACTTTCGCTTTTGTTTCCCCGCTGGGAGCGGGGCTAGCTATACACCTTATCCTATTAGCGTCATTAGGATGATAAAGTGCCACTTTAGAGTGCTTCCCAGCCAGTCCAACTTCCAGCTGGGTGCTGAGCACACCAGGGAGATTTGGTCCCGCTTGGAAAAACATCCAGGTGAGCATTATGATGCCGAGCTAACCAGCAAGGAAGGACTTCGGGGTTCAGAGCCTCTCTGCATGAGCTCCGTGAGCCTGGCCGGCAGCCAGGGGTGCCCATCAGCAGAGCTGGCTGAGCCCCAGTGCGGCACCCTCATGCTGCAGGGCTCCAAGGGGTGGGTCTGGAGTTATATGGGCACAGAGCAAGAGCTCTCGGCGCGTTCCTTGTCCTCTGGGTCAGGCTGTTACAGGATGCGTGGCTCCCAGTGGCTCCCTTACAAGGGCACTAAGGCATGATTAAAATTGGTTTGCATTTTATGAGAAAAAGTGAATGCAAGTGCAGAAATATGTGTCTTACTGATCAGATATGCAAAACACCAAGCTTCTATATTAGATTTTTAAATCTGAACTTTGCATCTCAAACCCATCTCTCATCTTAACCACAGGAGGCCCAAATCTGCAGTCTCTTCACAACCACAAGACTTCAGCATCATGCCTGATTAAAGAGTGAAAGGTTGGGTTTGCTGCTGTGTTTTCTTCTCTTTACCTATTCCATAGGTTTCCAACGGGAAAGATGGGCTGGTCAAATGTTTGTCAGGCTGCCTTTTATCTATTTAGCCCATTTGTTACAGAAACAAGAGCAGCCTTCTCACTCTGAGCAGAGAAATGGTGCTGGAAGTATCGGACTAGAGAGTGAGCATAGACAGGCAGCTCCGCAGGTTCAGTGCTGCACCCTGGCAGAGGCAAGCGGGGAAGGAAGGAGATTAGAGCAAGACCTCTGTGACAGGGTGAGGTGGGTGCTGGCAGTGGGAAACCTCTGCTCTGGCACCCTCTAGTGATGCTACAGCTGATGCTCTGCTACTTGCACCACTGGCAAAGCTGGATTTGACTAAAGCTTTAGTTGCGTGATCACCCACCGGCTCTGGTGGAACCCTCCTCCGACATTACTGATCCTATCCGTCGCCTTGGCAGCTCAAGGCTATGCATATACTGTTTGTAGGTGCCTAAATGCTCAACTCTTTGGCTCAGCAGCTGGGATTTCCAGGTAGTTTCCCAAGAGATGACAGCTAAGCACAGGGCTGCTGAGTTTCTGAGGTCAAACAGCATCTACTGCAAGCTGGCCGCTCTGGCCATCAGTGGGCAGAGCCTACTAACCACAGACAGGTTGGGGAACAAACTTGTGGCCGTTGTAAGAATATCAGCCCCATTGTCACTACGACACGTTGCATGTTTCACACGTCTCCGCTGGTTATTGCACAATCTCAAAGGACTTTGCAATTAGCTCCCAATAAATTTTGCTGAGGAGAGAACTGATCCGTAGCACTGGGAGGGAGCCAGTATCAAAGTTGGTCACCCTCTTTCTCTGTTCTGCCTTGTAGTGACTGCATCAGTTTCCCTGCATCACTTACACATGGTTTCCACATCATGTTTGCCTGTTTGGGTTTCCTGAACATGAGATTTGGTGCGGCGGCTGCCAAAGACCTCCTGTTAAGGACACTGCTCCTAGCGCGCTATGTCACGGCAGAAGTTTTAGGATTAGGTTCATATTGCATAAAGGGCAAGCCCCTGGGGATGACAGCAAAGCACGGTAACTCAGAGGACTGCTGCAGTCATGGCCCTGAGTGTCAGACAGACTGCGCAACTGTGTGCTGGAAGTGGCTTGTAACTGCTCCAAACCGGGAGATGCTAGGATTATGGCCATGCCTTCCTTATATACATTGAAACTCTGCAAAATTATTAAACATCTTGTGATAGATCATTAGGAGCCTTTGAACATCCCACGCCTGCCCAACCTTGCCTGCATCCACCACCGGGGAGTTTCATGCCCTCTGACTGTGCCTGCAAGTGGCCTGCCCTTGGTCTTTTCCCAGCTGCCTTGGCAAGAAGAGGTGACTCCAGCAGAGATGGGAACTCATGAGCACTGCAGATACAAAAGCTGACTACCGATCACTACCATTTTTAGTAGTCGTTCCTTTGGAAATCATAGCTGAGGCTTGCTTTTCAAGCTGCATTGTGATACAAACCAGCTTGCCGTACTTTTTTGTTAAGCGCAGTGCAGACACTGTCTTTCTTGAACGTGTGTTGTTTGTGCCGTGTTTTCACCGAATACTCCAGGGTGTCTTTTTTTTTTTTTCATATGACAAAAATAATTAGATGTGCTCTTGCTCTGAAAAAAGCACAGCTGTGTCTGGCTGTTACGGCTAGCGTGGCACTCTCCAGCCCTGGGAGCAGAAGGAGCTTCCCAAGAGCAGGGAAGTGACTTCTTGATCACTCCAGTGCTCAAGAGCCTGCCCTGAGAGTCAAGTCAGATTAATACTGCTCCTTCTACTGTAGGCATTTATAAGGTCAGTCCACAGTTATCCTACCACACCCTGTAATTCCCATGCTATGAAATCCCCCCAGGTACAGCCTGGGAGACCTTCCCGCGCAGCGTGGTGCAGTCAGAGCAGGATGCCGTGGCCGTCTGCCTAGAATTATGGAAACCAGCTCTCAACAAACATTTCAAACTGAAAGGGTCCTGTGGTGACTCCCAGAGCCAGGACTTTTCATCTGCTGCAGTCGCTGCTCCCTGATCACCCTGATTCAGTCGTTTCTATTGAGGAAGGGAAACTCCAAGCCTGCACCGTGTACCTTTCCCAGCTGCTGGTGCCTTGGGTTTGTAGGGCTGACAGACAGTGCTGTCAGTGCTAGCCCCTGCCATCGTCCTTTGGAGGAGGAGGATTGGAGTTAACATTTTCACAGAATAGAGAGCTACTGAGAGACAAGGAGTCACAACCAGAGCGTGACCCCAGAGAGGTTTCTACACCTTGAGCAGGGTGGGATAGCTTGGCCTTCTACATTGGCTTCCAGAGCAACTTCTCTCAATAAAAAAAATACTAAAAGGAGAAGAGCTCTGAAATGAATGAAATGTGTTATCTTTTAGTGGCATCAGTGCTATCATTCTGAAGTCTAACAAGTGCTGTGAGGTGCAAGCCAGTGAAACTTGCATGCAGCCTGAGAGTTTTCATTAAACAGCAGGGGACCCAGAGCATGAGGCCATCTCTCCCTTGCAGGGTTATACGCCTGGCTTGTTTCTCTGCCAAGCCTAAGTGGGAGGAAAGAGTGAACTCTGTTAAGATGAAGCACAACATACTTTACAGTGTTAACCTAGCTCTTGGAGAAGATGTGGGAGGAGAAGTAACTAGCGCATAAGTGATACTGAAATAGCAGCAAAAAGTTGTTGGCAATCCACCAGTTTGCAAACACACAAAAGAGGAAAACATATTTGCTTCATTTTTTACTAAAATCTTGCAAGTCTCAGGCATTTCTCTTTTGTATATTTTTTGGAGTGGTGTTATGTATAAATGAAACTCTCTCTGGTCACGAAATCAGAGTCTGTCTCTCGTGTACACACAGAGGGGCACTTACTGTCCTCTGCAGATACAGATGACTGCTCCCAGAGCCCAGCATGTGCACAGGCTGGGAGCACGGAAAGGTTTCATGGGTCTCGCTAGAGCTGTCAGAAGCTAGCTTGCTTTCCAACATATCTACCTACACATATAGTACATTTTAACAGGTCAGAAGGTGATATGAGAAGCCTGGCTTCTGATCCTTCAACTTGTCCTTATTTAAAAGCAACCAGCTGCTCAGATGATCCCTTTTAATTAAAGTGAACACGTGTGAGTCACTGCAAGTCAGCTCCAACAACAGCTGCTGATGTGGTGAGGCCAGAGCCGCAAGGAGGCAGCCCTTGTCCCATGGGGTTTGTTGGGCTCCAGCACTGCTGGGCAGAGTCCCCTGCCTGGAATGAGCTCACCTCCTGACAACCTAGTCCCCAAAGCTCAACTTCGCAATACTTGGAGTTGTTTTGAGGGCAAAAGATATAAAAAACGAGCGATAGTTATTAAGGAATGCATTCAATACCTGTGGCTAGAATAGGGTAAGCCTAAAAGCTTTTTTTTTGTTGTTTTCTTTTCTTACAGAAAAGCCCATACAAAAGTTTACAGGCCAGCAGAGAACGGGTGGAACACGAGCTCTTACCGTCGAGAGTTGCAGAGAGTCTAGACCAAGATAAACCACGCAGGCAAGCAGTAATATCCACTGAGCAGCCGCGGACACCAGGTGCAGCGTGTTCCTCCTAACCTGCCCTCTTTTCCAGCTCTTCCACTCATCGCTACTCATGCCAGCAGGTTCTCTTTCGCAGTCCATCTGATCGTCTTGCTTTCTCAGCTCCGCATCTGGCTGTCCGTCCATCGCAGCCACGCTGCCAGCAAGCACAGCCTGGGGAGCACGGGGCAGAAGAGATAGGTGCTCCCGTCCCAGGGGCAGAAATGAAATGAACACAGTGCCTTCAGGAGAGGGTTTTATGTGCACCAAGAAGCAGGCGGGGGAACTTCTTTGTGACTAATCTGAATTTCCCCTTCCTTTCTTTCTTTCTTTCTTTCTTTCTTTCTTTTCTTTTTTTTTTTTTTTTTTTTTTTCTTTGGTGAACGTGGGGGCTGATTTGTTGCATCCCAGTTCAGTTTTGAGTAAGGCCCTTTGAAAGTAGAGAAGTGTTTATGTCTTTCATAACTTCAGCTGTAAATCTCTTAATATATACGTGACATTTCCAACAATAACTAAGAGTTGGATGGACACTGATCTCTTTGCTCAATCTTTTGACAGTAAAAACTCTCATCTTCCTGTTCAGCCTTAGGTTGGGGGTTTACAGGGCTGTCTGCCTCCCTTGTGGGTAGTATATGATGCTGCCGAAATCTCTTTGCAATAAAGAACCAATTAATAGGAGAAGATGTGAGTGAGACAGGCAGGCAGCATAAAGAACTAGAGGCAAAAATGTGCACCCTCCATTTCTCCTCACCTTTGTCTTCTAGCTTTATGGCCGTGGGATGCTGCATGAAACTTAAGAGGGAGAAAATGGGGAACTACTCTGGGAACATCCCTTTTTGCGCTCAGTGAAACCTGCAGTCTGGGGAAGGCACTCGGAGGGACACCCCTGGGCCATGCAGGTTTCACTTGTGGAAGAGGATTGCCTGTTTCTTGGGACACCAAGAACTTGAAATGCAATTTTTCCTATATGTGTCTAAGGGATTGTATTAAACTCTCCTCTGTTGTCTCTCTTCCCAGCACCTTCCTGTTGCTTGGTCGTCTTGTGACATTCATGTGTGACACAGGGAGCTGATGCAGGTCAGTTGTCCACAGCAAGAGCCAGCTCCTGTGCTCATTTCGGTTGACAAGGCTTCATACCCTCTTTTGGGGCCATCCAGCACTGCTCTTTCCACCAAGCTTTCAGCCAGAGTTTTTCTGCTGTAAATTAGCATTTTGCAGCTGAAGTCAGGTGCTACCTCCTCCTGCTGAGGATCGGTCCCGTTGGGAGTGTTTCATGTGTCTGTCTTTCAGGGTTGAGTTGGCAGAAGGTTTCCCTTCCCAAAATGTTTTCTCTCAGTCACAAGGCACGTGTCCTTTTGTCAAACATGTACCCTGCATGCACAGAAAGCAAGGGTAATGTTCTTTCATGTCTTTTTCCATTTGGGCAAGGAAATTTGTTATAAACATGAACTGAACAAACTGGGGAGTGCAGCAGTTGGGTAAGCAAACTGCTATGAGGACACTGAGCTCTCAACCCACTTGTTCTTGAACAATAACCTCCAAGTTGCCAAAAGCTGATAGATCAAGTCAGTAATGCACTCTGGTATTCGTCTCAAGAACAACCTGGAAATCATGGAAACATACAGAAAAATGTTCAGCTTCTGAATTTTCCATTGTTTGGGTGCATAGATAATTCCAATCCCGCTTTTGCCAGCAGCCGTTCACCAGAGGTGCTGGAGCCTCAGGCTGAGCCACAGCCCACCGAACCTCCCTAGCCCTCTTTCCTCGTCCCCAAATATGACAGCAGCAATGGTGAGAGGAGTTGGTGCCGCTTCTGGCACGTCTTGGGGCAGACCCCATTGCTCACGGTCCCCATGGCTGAAGCAGGCAGGCACAGAGGAGCACCGTGGGGCCAGAGGTGCCCCGTACCTGCCTTCCTACCTGCAGCGAGAGCCGCCAGCGAGTGACTGCAGAGGCAGCCGGCTGCAGGTCTTGCACAGCCTACCAGCAATTTTGTCTGTATTTCAGTGGGGAATCACAGAAAGAGAGAGCAATCGTCACACCACGCCTGCCTTCCTGGAAGAGCAAACATTGCCGTGTGCCAGAGCAGCTCCGCCAGGGTTGTTGCTCTGCCCTGCGCTCTCCCTCCCTGCTTCCTCCAGGAAAGGAAACTCAGGTTTGCTGACGCTGCTTAGTTTCTGCAAAAATGCCAGGGGTGCCAAGCTGAGACATTCCCAGCTCGTGTGATCCCATAACTCCCATTTCTGGGCGAGCCTCTGAAGCAGACACGCTCTCTCGCCCATCTCCCTCCCTGACTTTGGATCTTGCACTGGTTTTGTTTCTAAAAGAATGTACCCTGAAAATGTGGGTGGAGGTTGTGCATATGTATTTCTGAAATTGCCTCGTCATTTCTGTACTCCCCCAGTGCAAGTGTCGCTCAGCATGGGTTAACAACATGGGTAGCACCGCGGATCGAAAGCTACATTTCAAGTAATGTCTCTGGCATCGTGTCCGAAACAGGAAAGAGGACAGCTCATTCAGCAGCAGCATGAACACCTATGCACAGCCTTCCGTAGCTGTAATCACCTTCATCTTGTCCGCCTGCCTTGCCTACGAAAACCCAAGTGCATGCAGATTTGGTGGCTTCAGATGTGTGCTACCAGAGCTCCTGCCTGCCCTCCTAGAGGAAACTTTCCTGGCCTTCCTCACCCTGCTGCGTCTCAAACTGGCTGCACATGCTTGGCAGCTGCCGAAATTGGCTGCATTGAGCAAAATTATTTTGATGAGGGAGGTGGGGGCAAGCTCTTTTCCACAGAGAGCCCACGCTGGGGACTCTTGGGGTTTTGCTCAGCCCTTTCCAGTCATCACTTCATTCTTAGACTTAGAGAAGACTTTGGCAGCTCGGGGGCTCCGTGAGCCTGTAGGCGCTCTGCAGCAGCCTCTGGTTGCTTGGGCATCTCAGCCATTTTCCAGAGAAATGCCTCGCGGTGCCACTTGCAGCAACATTATTCCAGCAAGGACTGAAGGAAACCAGAGTTTGCTATGTGTGGCTTGCTGGGGCTTTTATTTATTCATTTATTTATTTATTTATTCTTATGAGAGTCCTATCTGTTACATTAGGCTATTTTTGAGCTTTCCCAGACCAGAGAGCTGGAGGTTTTAAAACCTTGGCTGAAGCACGTCGGTCAAGGTCGAGGCTAGATCCTGCAGTGTCACCTCTGTACCAGGTCTCAGAGCCCCAGCCTGACAGTGTCCCTGTGCCACGGGGCTTTGGGAGAGGGTAAAAAACATCCTGACCATGGACGCAGCTCCTGGCCCGCAGGGAACATCCCACAAGTGTGGGGTCTAAGGCCTGACAGACCCCATGGGCACCCTCCTCCTCGCTTAAGTTCCCATTTCCCAGGAAAGTACTCTCAGCACACCAAAAGGAGGAAATGGGGAGTTGTATGGGACAGATGAACTGAACTTCTCAGAAGAACAGTGGAACAACTGATTGAACTGTTTGTAAACATCTAGAAGGAAAAAGGAAACGTGGGTTTCCACAAACAAAAGCTCAGGGGGTCTTGTGTGGGACAAGGCAGCCCCTTGGGCAGAGGAGAAGCTGCGGGAATTCAGGGAGCCTTTAGGAAGAGCCTTAGGAAGACTCTCTATTTCATAATGTTCATGAAGCACGGTCTGTACAAAGCTGTTGCTGGGTGGAAGTGGAGCTGTTTGCGTGGTTACTGATGGTTTGGTGTCCAAGTGGAAGGACAGGGTGTGTTCTCCTGGGACCTGCCCTGACTTCATCACTGCTCTGTGTTTCTGCAGCGTGCTGGGCAGTGCTGCTGCTCCTTTGGAGGACAGGATCTTACCTGGAGACTGCGGGGTCCCTTGGGAGCAGCTTGGATGCCAGTTTGTCCTGGTGCGTGCCAGGAAGCCTGGGATGGGGTAAGGAAGAAGCACTTCATCTCGCAGCCCTTCCAGACACAAAGCTTTGCTGCTGCCCCAGCCGTCCTGCACAGCCCGAGCTCATCTCACAGGCAACATCAGAGCACGTGGGGCATGCTCACAGGTGAGATCTGGCCTCTCAGCTCTTCCTGGTGGTCTTTTCCTCTAACTTAAAGGGCTGACTTCCAGGTGGAATAAATTTCTAGCAGAGCAGTGCTGTTGCTCTCATTGCTGCAGTCAGGTAGAGCGCGTCGGGTGCTGTGCTGTCCTCTTGTGTGCGGCTGCTTTCCACCAAGGCTGTCTTTGCCTTGAGAATAACCACTCATACAGCTTGACGTGGCACAACAGTGGGAAAAGGCAAAGGAAACCTTGCAGTAATGTAAAAGGGGAAAAAAAAAGTCAAATATAACATAGACAGCATTTCCATCCAGGTCTCACTTCTCGGTGTGTACCTAGAGTGCTGCTTTCTTCTGTTCCCCAGCTAATGCTGTTTAATGCTTCTGTCCACTCCAAAAATAATTTAACTGAGTCAGATTTCCTTATCAGGGTGAAAGATTTTTGCCTAAAAAGGTTACCAACTCCAGTTTCTTTGTCTCACAACCATGTTAACTATTTTTCACCCTTGATTTCATTTTCGTGTGGCATTTTCTCCTGCTCCGTGCAAACAGCCACTGGCTGATAATGCTTCAAGGATTTCTGCCAGCAGAGGCACCACGCCAATAGGCAGGAGGTTGCATTAGTCAGGCTGCTTTTGGCAGTGTGAAATAGTGAAGGACGTTGTGAAAATGCTGTAAAATCACAAATCAAAATGTGGACATTTGTGGGAAGTCAGGTGTTTTGGGGGAGATCCCAAAAGCATGCCCAGCCTCACGAAGAGATTTTGCATTTTACCTTCCCGTGGCTCAATTCGTGGGCAGGCAGAAGGCTCGGCACCAAGGCAGTGCCTCACCCCGGAGCACCGTGCTGGGATTTTTCCCAGGGAGCAGCTTTAAGGGAGCAGCAAAGTGAGCAGCCGACGGCTCCCCCCGGCACCCCACAGCAGCTGCCAGCTCTGCTGCTGCTCGCAGCCGTTTTCTCATGGACTGTCACCTTCTCAGCCTCTGGCTGGACACCGTTCACCACAATTTCAGCTGAGTAGGCAGGGGCTGCGTGTTCGCTCTGACACCTTGACCTTTTAAAGGTCATACGGATTTCCCTTCATTTCCCTCTGTCGCTGCTTCAGTCAGAAATCACACCGTAGCATACCATCAAACCGTAAGATATCAGGAGAGAAAATCAAAGACATATTTTGCCATTTAAAAAAAAAAAAAAAAAAGACATAACTATGCAGCTCACATTTAGACAAGCTCTTGGACTCAGCCAGCTTCACTCCTCCTGCACATGATGTTTTGCTGCAGCTCTTGATTCTTGTTGTGGGTCTGCAGCGTTGCATGAAAGAGTTGGAAAAGGGTTTGACACCATTCCTGTCCCAGCCAAGCCAGCGAAAAAGACCCCCATGCAGTACCATTTCCTAATTCCTGAGATGAGCCGATTTGTCCCTTTTCTAACCAGGACATGTGCGATTCCACTTTACGTGCCTCTCAAGATCAACTTAATCAGCAAAGATTTATCCATCAATTATGGGATTTTAGGTACTGGATCGAGCTCTGGTGTCACGAAAAGTGTGTTGACCCACATGATGCCTTACAGCATCTTTGTCGTGTACCCTATGAACTCTCTCCCTTTCTTGTTTTCTGAGTATTGTTTCATCGTTTTTAGCAGCTGTCAGGTTAAATTCTGGAAAAATAGTTTCCTCCACTGTTTCTCAAACATTTAAAGAGCTCTTGATTTTCCATTCACAGTCATTTAGTTGGTTGGTGTTTTGTTTTGTTTTAATTGTTGTTTTTTTTTCCATCTGGTCAATTTAGCTCAAAATTTCCCCCAATTTATACTACCTCTGGTGAAACATCCAGTAGCTATATTACTGGCTGGGACTGCCCTCTGTTTGCTCACACTGACCATAATCAGATGGTGGTCGCCACTCCCTCAGCAAATACCACTTCTCCAGTAATTAAGCCACCTTTCTCCATCCCACACAGCAGCCTCATGCTTGTTTGTGGCAAGACATCTATCTGCAGCCCCACCAACACTCTCACAGCATCGTCGCACCTGCTGGAGGGAGGTGCTGGTGCTGAGCTGTGCCCGGTCTCAGCAGTTTTCTCTTTTTATTCTTTATCCTTTCTATTTGCAGAAGTCTGAATTGCCTAGATGCAGCTGGAACGGACGGCTGAGAAGTTGCTATTACAGCAGTCTCCTCGGTTTAAGCTTGTGCTTTGGGAGAGACGACAAGGGGTCTGTGTATCCAAAAAGCAAGCAGCCCGTGGCTTTCTACAGATGTCCCCTGAGGTTTTGAAGCACATCTAAAGCAGGTTGCGTGGCTGACATGACACAAGCCTGTAACACAGCAGCAGCAGCCGATATCTCCCAGCTCCCCGGCCCCGCGCATCGCGCCGGGCAGGAGCCCGCGTGCACTCACAGCAGCAGCCCACGGACGCTGCGGATGGCAGCACCCACAGCCATCACGCGGCCGCACGTTTCGCTACGTGCTGGGCTCCACAGATGAGTGCATCCAGCAGCAGCAAGAGCCCCCGATGACTAATCCTGGCCGGAGCTGCTCTCTGTATTACGCACCGCAGCGTTCGCTCCCCGGCGGGCTTGGACCGGGGACGGCGAGCCCTGCCCGCCCTGTGGTTGTCACCTCGCCAGCCCCCGGGGACACGGGCGGCCACGCAAGGGTTGTGGCAGTATGAGAGCCGGGTATGAGCCATCTGCCCTGAGTGATGGGGGTTTGCCTATGACCCGTGAGTTGCTTTCCTCTTCACCCACCACTTTCACTGGTCCTTGCGTGGTATTCAAACAGCGCTGTCTTGGGTTGTGCCTTTGGTGCCCTTGGACACAGGACCATGGCGAAGCTTCAGGGCAGGTTCTGGGGGGCAGCTGGCAAGCAGGAGGCAAGCAGTAAGTCCCAAAAGGATCCCACGATAAGCCCCGTGTGCCTTTGGGCACCCTCTCCGTTTGCCGGGCAGGTGGGGACAGAGCCCCATTCCTCAGGGCGGACGCAGTAACCCAGGGGGTGTATCTGCCACCAGCGATGTTGAAAGGCATGACAAATTTGTTGCTTTTCTGCTTCTTTCCAATAGCAGCACCCTTTGGGACAGGTTCCTACACTGATACTACGCCGACCAGCTGACTCCGCAAAACTACAAGAGCTGTGAGTTATAACTCAGGAATTTTGTGACATCTTTTTCTTGTTTAATTGCCTCTTTCATATCCAGCATTCTAGGATTCTTCTCATTTTTCAGTCTATGGAATATTTAAGACTTTATTTTACTTCCTTCTGCAACAGATCACTCAGACCTCAGCAGGGAAGGAGTTTGCACCCTTAGGTGACCTTTTCCTACCAACACACTCAGCCCCTGCCAAGTTACAGCTGCAAAGGGGGCCTCAGCTGTCCGGAGCATGTTCCCAGTGTACAAGGAGCCGGACTCCAGCCCCCGCAGCCCTTCCCTGCCTGCTGCCTTCCCCATGGGTTCAGCTCCTGGCACTGCTTCCCCAAGCACAGCACCCTAAATGCCAGGCCAGCTCTTCCATGCTGGGATTTAATTCTTTCTGATCCCCTTCCCTGCTGAAAAAAAAAAAAATGTTTGTATACAAAAAATGGCTTAAAAAAATACGTATATATACAGCAGCTAATCTTTGCCTTTCTGTCCCAACTCCTAGCAACCTCGAGTGCCACACGTGAATGTGTCTATTTTGAAACATTTACAAGAAAAGTGGTTTCAAGCGATGAAGACTTGTCTTAACATGCTTAAACACGTCTAACCCAGGCTTTAGCAGGTCCTAACCTAGGCCCTTCTAGCAGGGTGCACCCCCAGCTGCTTTCCCACCTCCCCAACCCGTGCCTGCAGCTGCGCCCTCCTTCCCAGGGCATCAGCCACTTTGTGCCCAACTGGGCCACCAGCAGCACCCCTCGCTCTGGCCCGAGGAAGAGAAATCAGCTTTTCCCTCCAGGCTGCAGCATCAGGAAGAGGCCAGGCAGTTGTGACACGGGGACAGCTGAGAGCTGTTCCTCGCCCCAGCTTCCCTGCCCACGCAGAGCAGGAGTGCCCCTCTGGGAGAAGCAGGTTTTCCTCCCCGGGGCAGCACGGTGCCAACCACAGCGCAGGATGTCTTTCGCTCGCCGTCTCCCCGTGACTCAACTAGGTCAACTGAAGGCAGGCAGCGAGCGAGCGAGGAGGCAGCCGTGGTGCGAACGGGGGTTTCTCTGCCCTCATATGCCACGAGCTCGGGTCGATTTAGGACACTTTCCAGCCCCGATTCGAAGACGGGAGTGATGGGAAATCTGGCCGCGCTTGGGTCTGCTCTTGCTGGAGTTCCCCACGGGCCCCACCACCCCCAAGAGCCCTACTTGTGCTGTGATGGGAGCGAGCCCGCAGGCTTGCCAGGAGGGCTGTGACAGAGGCAGCTCGGTGCAGGGGGTAAGTTGCCACCACCGCCAAGCTGATGCGCCTCCTGGTGGCACAGGGGAGCGGGGAGGCACCCATAAGGGCCCTTGCCGGGTCTGAGGAGCCACCAAATCTCAACTGGTTCGTGCAGCACTTTGCCACCTCAAGGGCCAACAATGCTCCCAGACATTTTCCCACTTCCTCCACTAATTCCTCTATGTTTAGGTTTCTCTTGGCAGGCCTAACTGCGCTAATGGATAAATAATATTTAAGGTTATGACTAAGCAATGGCAATGTTGCTGCCAAAAAATGTAGCGCTGGTTAGAGGTGTTGATTAGTGATGGAAAATAAAGCCCCTGTGCCTTTATGGGGCACCCACAGTTATCTGCTGTTGTGATGCACCAGCCCTGCCTGTGGGCTCTGCTTCCCCACGGTGACACTGGGACGTAGGGACACTTTTTAAGCCCAGTGTCCCTGAGCCGTTTCATCTGGCCAGCAGGAGGGTTTGAGGAGCTCCCTTTTGATCTGGTTTGCTTTCCAGTATTTGTTTGATACATTTGTTTTTCTTTCAGATAAACTGTAGAGAAATCAGCACTTTTGCAGGAAAAAAAAACTTTTGCTATTTGGTGGCTGAAAAAAAAAATATTAAAAAAAAAAATCCCTGCGAAGTTCAGCTGATAACACGGTGGAGTCATCTGCGTAGTGCTGGGAGCGGGCGCAGTCATGTCTCTCCACCCAGCGATATCATCAATACTGCTATGACTTGTGCAGAATATAGGATGGAAAAAACCAAAAGTGCTAGGGTTGGCTGGAAATTTTCAGATGGAGTGTGTGTCTGCAGGCAAGGCCATCGCCAGCCGGCAGCCCGGCGTGACCGGCAGCCCTAACCACACAGCGGCCCCTGGCTGAGAGCCACACTTGGGTGCAAAAACTCCCCTGGCAGTCAGAGAAAGCCCTGGCCCCGGCACAGCAGCCCTCGGGTGGGGAAAGCGGAGGCAGAGGGGCTGCTCCAGCCTCTGTCGGGGAGATGGAGGGGTCTGCCCTGCTGGGACAGGGGCTCAGGGCTGCCTGAGCGGCTGGCACCCCAGCAGGTGCTGGCTGGTCCCTGCCATCCAGCAGGGGTGGTTGGTGCTGGGCTGCTGGCGTTTCTTCACCCCATGCAGAGCCTCTGTAGGCTTTTAATAACTCAGTATGGGTGTAGTTAAACACGGGGGAAGAACAGGCTGCTTACTTTGTTAGGGTGGTGGTTGTGTTTGTGGGGGATGCCGGTCCCTCTGTCTCTGTGCTGGGTCTGCCCAGAGCCCTAGGGGGTGAAACAGGCTGCTTTCCCTGCAGAGCAGCGCTGACACGCTGAGTGGAAGCAGGGAGGGATTTGCCACAGAGCCCAAAGCCCAAAATTTGCCACACAGCCCTGCGGCTGGACTGCTGTGGCTGAGGAAGCCGCGGGAGCGAGCCTGGCGAGCTGTGTCCATCCATCTGCATGGAGCCCCTGCCCCCTTCCCTCCCCTCCGCTGCTCACTTCCACACCTCCCTCGCACTTCTGTTCAAGTTCATGCCTTCTGGTCTCAAAATACCTCTTGGCAAGCCTCTGGTTACCATTTAATCCAGCAGCAGGTTATTTGAAGTGAAATGTGCTGCTCGCTGCCACAAAACACGACCTGCATTTGGGAAGCCCTGGCCAAGGGAGGGCTGGGCGCGCACGCAGGCTGCCCATCCACGGCTTTTCCCAGCCCAAATCCAGCCCCACCTCTGGTGGCTGCCTCGCTGCAGAGGTGCGATCTGGCCGTGAGGGAAGGAAAGAAACCTTTAAGTTGGCTTTAAGACTTGCGGATGTGCAGAAACTGCTGGAGGAAGGTGCTGTGCGGGAGCCAGCTCGTCGTGCAGCCGCTGCGCTCGGCCACTTCCACGCGCTGCCACTCAGCACCGAGCCCCGCGGCCCAGCTGGCACCGACTGCAGAGGCAAACGAGTTCAAACAGCTCAGGTTCCCCGCGGGTTCCTGCAACACGAATTCCTCGGAGTTACTGGATCCTGACTTCCTCTGGGACTCGTGCTCTCATTTACAGCATGCGAGCTGGCCAAGAGAGGATGAGCTAAAGGAAGCGAACTCGCGGCATGGCAGCAGAGGGACGGCGACGGCCCTGTTGTGCACCCAGCCAGTGTGCTCAGCATCTTCAGGAGGTCAGCAAAAGAGCTCCGAGTGCAGCTGGAGCAGCTGCCCTTTCCAGCTCGTGTCCTGTGTTCCTGAAAGCAGTGCCATGTTCCCATTCTGACTATTTACACATGTCGTGAGGGCCTTACCAGAAGTGAGGGACTGCAGGCTGCCCCGCATCATTGTGATGAAATCCTGCCTCTTATCAGGCTTGCATGTGGGTTACTTTCCTTCCTTGCCAAGATCCCCACCACAAAATACATCTTGCCTTTGCAGCTGTTTTGGAGAGTCAAAAAAAAATGGGCCATTAACCTTTCTGTGCTTTTTTTTTTTTTTTTTAATGGAAATCACCTGCAAACACGTCAGCTGCGGCGCACAGCATGGGCTTCGGAGCAGGCACTGCACGCTGTGCTGATGACTGGGGGCTGAGCGCGACCTCGGCTGGGCCAGCCGGGGGCCGCGGCCTCAGGTCTCTGCTCCACGGTGGTCTGACTCACCGGGCAAGTGCTCTGAGAAAAAAAAAACTCCAGGGAGATGCACTCAGAGATCAAGATCTCAATTACCCAGACCACCCCATCCTCTCTGGTTGTTTTTTTGTTTTTTTTTTTTGTTTTTTTTTTTCCACAGATGTAATTTCCTGGCCCAGTCCCCAAGAAGGGAAAAGCAGCACCCTTGTGCTGAGCGAGACCCCACCTGGGTGAGCTCCGAGCCGGGACCACCGGGACCAGGCCACGCAGCAGCCTCTGAGCTCAAGGAGCAGCGAGCGGGCTTCTGGCCGGTGAGCCCTGGAGGGAATCGGGCTCGAGGCTGAGGTGCTTTAAATAGGAAAGTCACTTCTGAAGCGAGCAGAAAAACCGCAGATAGGGACAGCGCAAAGATGTGGCTAAACTGCTGAGGAATTCCCCCGACAGAGTGCGCCGCGGCAGCGGCCCCAGCGCGCCCCAGCTGCTGCCTCCCCGGCCCCACGCCGCCACCACCACGGAGCTGCCGAGGCCCTGGGGGATTTCTGCGAGGGACAGAGCAACGTGCGGGGACACCGGACCTCCCACAGCACACGGCGCCGTGGCTCCCAGCGCTCTGCATAATGACGGTGCTGGCCCAGTAAGCCGAGTGTGACTGGGAGGGGATGCTGGCCCCACACGCAGCATCACACGGGGCTGGGTGGAGATGGACGGAGTGGAGCAGCGGGATCCTGATGGCTGCTTCCCAGCGGTCACGCCGAGGCTGTGCTTCGCGGCCTTTCCCCACAGCTGTTAAGCTGCCGGGAGCGTTGCTGCGTGCTGCTCCCTTCCTCTGGGTTTGCTGTGCTCAGGCTGTGCTCTCCGCAGCTTCCTGGGGCTTGGCAGCGAGGCCCAGGGTGCTGTGCTGCCCTTCCCTGGGCTTTTTGGGGTCAAAGCACTGACCAGCCGGCAGCAGGGATGGGCAAGGGCAGCGCTGGTTGCTCTGGAGGGACAGGCTGAGCCCCAGCTTGCAGCTTTGCAGCAAAAAACAGCTTTTGGAAACCCACCTCTGTGCCCTGCTCCATATATGCCCCCCAGAGGCATTTAGCCTGGCCACAGCCAGTCCCCCTGCTGCCCCGACCCTTCCCAGCCACACACTGACGCTGAATCTCTCCAGGCTTTATTTAGTTGAGCCGGGGAAGAACATGCACCTGCCCCAGCACAGCACGTTGTTACCCTGCCCCGAGGGAGCACATGTGCCCAGACATGCCTCAGACATGCCTCCAGTGCTCTGAAGGAAAGCCCTGGTGCTGCTCGGCTTCCCCAGGGTCAGCTTTAAAAGCAGCTACAGATCCTCTTGCCTCTGACACGGGCAAGGACGATGGGCTTGTGGTGCCCTCAGCACCCAGCCACGGGGTGAGCCTGGCCCCAGCATCAGCCCCGCAGAGAGGGGAACGTGAGGCTGGGACCCCCTTTCCAGAGGGTCTGGATAATTTGTTGAAAGCAAGGCAGGAAGGAAGGATCCATGACTAATAATCTGGCTGCAGGAACTGGTAGGCCCACGCTTTTAATTAATTAATTTATTTTAATACTCCTTTTAGTAGTAACAAAAGCAAGACCCATTTAGTTTCCGAGCCTGAGAGGGGCAGAAGTGTTGGGGTACCAGGAGCTCACCCTCGCTGCAATCCCCACAAAGGCACCCACGGGAGCCGTGCTCCTTGCCTGTGCCCCCCAGCACAGCACTCCTGGGCGCAGGCACTGCCCCAGCTGTGGCTCAGGACCATCGAGGCCACGCGTGCAGTGCTTGGTGAGCCAAAAACAGGCGGGCACGGCGGTGGCACGGGGAGAGCTCACAGCCCCACAGAGCAAAGCCATGGCCGAGCCTGAATCCAGCCCCGCAGGGCACCGCGGGAGACACCACGGGCGCCTCCAGGCTCATGCGAGGAGCTTCAGAAAGGGGAAACGTCAGATTATTCCCACAGCACATGCAGAAGCACAGCTGTGGTTAAGCACCAGCTCTGAGGTATTGCTCATTTGCATCGTGCGCTACCTCAGGCGCTTTGATGTCGCACGTGAGGTTATGGTGCCCGGGGTGCCTGGGGCTCTGCTTCGCCCCAGCAGGCCGGCTGTGCTCGTGCTTCTCACCACTGGACGTGGCTGTGGCCATCCAGGCAGTCCGGGGGGCTGCGGGGTTAACCCCGCTCCCTCCCCGTCCCCACCACGGCCGGCTGAGCCAGCAGCAGCGTGGCACCCAAGGGACACGGCCCCGTGCACCCATCGCCCCCTTGCCAGGAGATAGTGAGGGCTTCGGGGCCAGGAGGCCAGCTGTGCCTCTTGGGGCACTGGGGAGGATGCTCAGCTTATGCCTTTGGGGTATTGCTGTGGGATGGGGCACAACCCTTTGTGCTGTGTGCTCCGTGCCATCCTGCAGCCCCTGTATTGCCAAAAAAAGGCCACTTTCTGCAGGACCTGGTGGCAGACAGGGTGACAAAACAGCCAAGGGGCTCCTTGGCTGTGGGATTGCAGCACACAAGGGTCAGGGAAGGCTCAGGGACAGTGCCAGGGATGTCATTAAGCCTCTTGGAGTGAGAAAGACAGAGCTGACCCTACTGGGCCCCCTGAGTGTGTGTGGGGGGGAACTCATCCCTTGGGGTCCCTAAATTGCCATTAGGCACAAGCTGGCCCCACAGGCTGCTTACTGGTGTTGGGGGGGTGTGAGCTCCAGCCTCCAGCTGGATGTTGCTGCTCTGTGTTAATCATCCTCAGCTTTGTTTGTTTAATTTATTTAGGTTTTTGCTGCTGAGGCGAGCAGATTTTCAAGAACCAGCTCATCCCTGGAGCACCACGGCGGAGCGGATCTGGGACACGGACATCTTGGCCTCTTCAATCCCAAAGCTACAAACACTTCCACCACATGCACACCAAGCCCTCGGGAGCTCAGGACACCAGACTGGGTGAGCCCTGACACCAACCCCGCTGTAGGGCAACCCCAGGCTGAGCAACAGCCTGCGAAACGCAGCGCCTTCAGCGCGGCAGCACCCAGAGTGAGCGCTCGGCATCGCCAGCTGGTGAGTGGCAGCGGCTGGAAGGGGGAGCAGGGCTGTGTGTACATGCAGGCCTGCGTGCACACGGGTGTTTGTCTTTGCCTCCTTTGTTTTTTCCACCCGTGGGCGTCCCAAAGACTCAAATAATGCAAATTGCACCCATCACCGGCCAAGTGGGGCGAGGGGAGCTGGAGCCCACGAAACCACAGGGAACATGTGAGGCCAGAGGGTGCAGCTGGGCACGGGGTGCACGGGCACATCCTCCGTGTGCCGTGGGGTGTGCAGCAACTTCCACTGCACTGCCGTGTCCCACCCAGCACCTGCCACACTGTGATTTAGGTTTTAGCCCAAAAGCTCAGCTGGCAAAACATAAACCAAGCCCCGCACGCTGTGTTTTCCTGGGCAGCTCCAGGAAAAGGCACAAGTGCCGTACCAGGGGTCGAAGCCTTCCCAGCCATCCCCCTCCTGCTGGCACGGAGTCAGGAAACCGCAGGAGCTGCAGCACAGCCACACGCTGATCCCTGCACACAGCTTCACTGCGGGGCGATGCCAGCAGTGCCCCAAATCATCTAGGGTCTGTGGGAGCACGTTCCACCATTCCTCCCTCTCTATTTCCCAGACTGACACTTTTGCAGTACTTTTTTTAAAAAGGAAAGGATGTGTTCACTGCCTTTCTGCTCTGCTTCTCAAGCACACCACCATTTTTCTTCAGGAAGATGGATGCTGAAGACAGCAGGGCTACACCAGCTGTTTTGGAAACAGGACGCCTCCACCCGGGTACAGTACAAGCTCTGTTTGAATGCGTCAGCGGTGCTGGCTTTCGCAGCAGGCGGGAGTGAAACTGAGAAAGCTGAAGTGGAGGGATAACACAGCCAGTGCATGAACAGCCCTGGGACACACGGCTCAGCCGTGTGTGGGGGTGTGGGGACAAGCAGCGAGCGGCACCTCCTCACCCTTTACACATAGGGCAGGGAAGGGAGCAGTACCAGGACAGTGCTGGCAGGATGAGGGCTGCCAGGCTTTGTGGTGTCTGCTGCCTGCAGTGGCCACACAAGGCAGCCACCCTCCCCGTGTGCTCACAAACCCCATGGAAAGCCAAAGAGCCCAGCTCAGGCTGGAGGGAGTCACACAGAGCCACCTCCATCTCAGGATAGCCCACTAAATCCAAAACCCTAACCCCTCGTGTTACGACTGGATGAGGATGGAGGTGAGCGTTACTCAGCTTAATTTCCTACAGAGCTTTAAGAGAACAATGAATAACAAAACACAAAACCAAACTTGGAGCAGTCTTCTGGTGAGTATTTTGGAGAAGGTGAGAGCTGAGGTAAAAACAAAGCAGGCTGATCTGCCTTGTGATTTCTTTCTGATGGGAAAATAGCATTTTAGTGAGAAATGAAAGTTTCAGTGGAAAATGTCTGAAATTTTGCTTTTCCCTAGAGCAACGCAGGAGTATCCGCTATCATCAGCATTTCATATAGTTTAATAACAAAATAAAAATATCTGAGAAGCCGGTCTGTAGTTCACAGCAGGGCTTGGGGCCAAACCCTTACAGAATAACACCCAGGGGTGGCTCTGCCAAGCCCAGGCTGGAGCTCCTGAGCTATAAATCAAATTGTCTGGGAGACTGCTTCCCAAATTGTACTGCTGCAGTCCAGCAGGCAAACAGGAAGCCCTAAACCAGGCTTTTCTACCATCACCTGCAGCAGGATGACAGTTCTGAAATCTGCTGGGGAAGCCTGCTCAGCCAGGCTCGAGGCAGCAAGGGCTGGGGGAATTTGGAAGGATGAGGGAAGGGGCCACAGCCCCAGGACTTGCACGGGGACAAGGCTGCTGCATGCCAGAATGAGGGCTAAACAGTGCCAGAGGGCTGAAGGAGGCTACAGGCTGCTCCGTGGCAAGGCCAGCAGCCCTTCCTGCGAGATGAAAGCAGCCCCAGCTCCTTCTCTTTCTTCTTATCAAAGTGGAGTTTCAGAAGTGGCGTGTCATTGCACAGAAACAGCTATCTGATTCCGGGCGCATTTAAATTGAACAAAGACATAGCAAAACCCACCAACGGGAAACTGGTTTCAGAAATTCAAATGGAAACAATACTTCTTTTTTTTTTCTTTTTAATGATAACCAGCCTTTACAACCCATACCATCAAGGCGGTTATTAAACTGATACTTGCCACCTTCAGTGATGATTTTGGCTGGCGCCAAGCAGCACCGCAGCGAGGGAGCGGCGCGAGCCACCGAGCATCCTCCCAGCCAGCTTTCAGCCCTCCTCCAGCCCCAGCAGCAAGGGCTGGGCACAGGGCAGACACCGCAGCGCTGGTTTCCATTTCCTGCTGCATGCTGTACCCCCCCTGCTATTGCAAGAAGGTCAGTGCTCCAACGAGACCCAGGAGCAGCTCGTACCACTCAAACACACGGCCCTTTTACTGAAACTGCCCCCAGGCAGAACAAATCCAAGCCTCCAAGGCTTCACATGAGCATCCTCAGGCTCAGGATAACCTGTGAGCATGAAAACCCCAGCAGCCAGATGCTATCTAGAGACAAAAACTCATTTCCTGGCAAGAAATGAATCTAAAGTTCTGTAAAAAGAGACCTTCACTTGGATGAGGCATTTCTCAGTGAAAAAATTATTCTTATAAGTGGATGGGAAATACGTGTAACTCAATGCTGCCTCAGCCTTTCATGAGTATATAAAAAAGGGAGGGGGAACTCAGCCATCTGATTGGGACCTCTGACCATAATCAAACAATTTGACTGACCACTATCAAAGGTTGAACTTTAATCTGGAGAAAAGAAGGCTCCAGGGAGCGCTTACAGCAGCCAGCCAGCACCTGAAGGTGGGCCTGCAGGGAAGCTGGGTGGGCTCTTTGTCAGGGCATGTAGCAAATAAAAGGAATAATGGTTCTAGATTAAAAGACGGCAGATTTAGATTAGTAAAGAACTTCTTCCTTATATCTGTGAGGGCGGGGAGGCACTGGCACAGGCTGCCCAGGGAAGTTGTGGGTTCCCCATCCCTGGAGGTGTTCAAGACCAGGCTGGATGGGACTCACGTTTTTAGGCTACAGCCACAGCTACACTTGAAGGTTTTAGCTGCAGAAACTGAGGCAGGCTGGTGAACTCTCCTCCTGCCAACCACACACACCAGCAACCACACCAGTGAAGAAAGGCAACGCCACAACAAACCCTTTGGCTCTCAGAAGTGATTTCCCTCCAGGAACCAGTTGAAATCATGCTGCAGAAGGCATCTTCTAGCAACAGGCACCATGCCTCCTGCTGGGAAGAGAGCTTCATCATCCTTCTGCTACTGCACTACCTGCAAATCCTTCTGCACATCATTTTAAGACACACCTGTCACCACTCCCAAGTCCCTGCCAGGGAACAGGCACCACCACCCCTCTCCAGTTCTGAGAAAGCAGCTGCAGAAAGACAGCCCCTCCTCTACGGAGGCTTTCTTTGAAGACGTCCATCTGCAGCAATCGGTCACACACTTCCTTCCACACCCAGAGCATAAAATGAGGTTTCCCTTCGTTACTGGTTTGTCTGGACAGCAGAGCATTTCTGCAACCCTATTTTGGGACTCCGGGCATTCACAGCACAGTTTCTTAGAAATGCCAGCGGTCTCATTTCCTCCTTTTTCCCTTTGCCAGTCATCTCCCAAGCATGCCCAAGCACAAGGAAGGTGGTAGGAAGCCAGTTAAAGTTTTCTCTACTGAGAAACCAGGACCTGCATTTTTAGGCACTGCTGGCAGAGTTTCTGTCCCTCAGAGGAGTTCCTCTTTGCATCAGGCCCAAGCCCAGCTTTTCACAGCCAGGGGATTCTGAGCCAAAGCTCGGGCAACAACTGAGAGCCCTCAGCTGCACGAGAAGAGGGGAAGGGCTGTGCTGTGAGAGGCTAAGGGAAAGGCAATGTGGTGTGTGTTTGATAGCAAGTGTCATGCTTCATGTTTCTGCTCTGAACCAACAACGAGAAACATCTTCCCTGGTTGCACATCTCAGGAGCAACACAGTTTAACTATTTAGGGTGTTGCAGAGGGACACGTTCACATTTATAGGTTCCTCCTCAGCACCAAGCTGACCCAAGGTCAGACTTCAGGCAGGTCTGGCAGCCTGAACTGTATGGAAAAGAAAGATTTTCTTTCTGCATTCTGTTCTCCCAGGGGCATGGGCCACATCCTGAGATCAGACAGCCATCCTTACCCAAAGCTCGTAACATGAATGGAACCAGGTGAACCTCTCAAGCTCCACCAGCCCCGGCTCCTTCCCTTCTTCATGTGGCATCTGAGAGCTTTCTAGTGCAAATCTGAAAATCCATCAGAAGTTGTTGAGTGGCAACTTCCAGTACGTTGCTCCGTTCCTACTGGATTATAAATGCAGGCTGTAATATTCCAATATTAGAGCACGTTCAGTGGAGGCTATCAAGATGGTCTGGGCTAGAGCACACAGCTTAGGAGAAGCTGAGAGCAACTGGTTTGTTCAGCCTGGGGAGAAGGCAGAAGGGAGATTGCGCTGCCACCTGCAATGCTCTGACAGGGAGCTACAAGGAGAGCACAGGAAGAGCTGGGAGGCAGCAGGCACAGGAACAACGTGACGTTCTGGTGAGATGCAATGAAAACCTTCACCGTGAGCACAGCCACTGCATGTTCCAACACCATGGGACAGAAGTACCACGCTTTTGTGCACATCTGGAGACAGGAGCTCTAATTTTAAGGTTAGCCCTTTATTTCAGCAGCAGGTGAACAACAACCCCCAGGTGTCCCTTCCACCTGCCCCAGAAGTCTATGAAGCACCGCTTCTCACAGGGCCTCACATTTTATGGGAAAGTGCATTGAGAACATGAGCCTCTCAGCCTTCCCACCTGTGAAATGGGGCTGACAGGATTTCCTTATTCAAGCCTCTGCTGTGCAGTAGGTGTCCTGGTTAACCCACTTTCTTCAGTGTGGAATTGATGGCTCAGCTCTTCAGAACAAGAGGCTCCGTCTGCGGAGCTTTCCTCCTAGCACATACAAACAGAAGAGAGCGGCACTGCTTGTGCCATACCCAGTGTTGTGTTTCAGAACTCACTTGTGATACTGTCAGAGGCTGCGTGCTTCCTTCACATCTGAAATCCTGAGAGCTGCCCCAAAGTTTCTAGCAAACAAACTGAACGCTTTCATTTTACACCAGAAACATAACAATTATCTGGGAAATCCCCCTCCCACACCTCGGAGTCCATACTTTGGGTGACTTGCTGATCTCGCCATATACAGTTATTTAGGTTCAATGTTGCTTTCAAGAACTGTCATGTAAAAGCCACTGGGGTCAACTTTTAAGATGAGCATATATAGCAATTCAGAGTGAGCCCTTAAATAAGAAAATAGCAGTTGGGAGCAGGGGGGCAGAAGAAGCCTTCATTCTCCACCCTCCTGTTACCCTCTTGCTTAACTCCACAGGGCCATACCTCAAGAAAAGTGACCTAAGTATACAGCTGCTCTCATCCTGCCAGGCCCTGCTGTAGTTCTTTGCTGTTGCCTTTCCCAGCTTCCATAGTCCTCAAGTGGTTTTCTCACGACGGGAGCCACTGATATCTGTGTAGGCAGAGCAAAAGGCTGTGCCGAGCTCCACAGCACATCCCTCGAAACAATGCAGCAACAGCTGCACAGCTCCTGGCAACCCTGGCCCAACAGAAAGTCAGATGGGTCATGAAAGAAAATTATAAAAGGATAACTGAGAAGAAACATCAGGGGCAGGCACAGTCCTCAGTTCTCAGGGTTGCAGTAAAGAAAAACTGCATAGGAAAAGGGAAAGATTACAGCTCTCCCATCCAAATACTTCCCAGGAGAAAATAAGAAGGGAGTGGAGGCAATCACAAGCTTCCTTTCATAATCTTCCAGAGGAATCGGCATCAGTTCCACTGTCTGAATGGCGCAACAGGGACAAAGAACCAAGTCATCCAAGGTACCCATACAGCTGTGGTTAAGACAAACAAATTAACTCATAATGCCTAACATCTTAAGAAGCCTGTTCCCTTCAGCATCTGAGGAGCACCCAGCTGACTCAGGAAGATGGTGATGCACCTGAAACACCACAGGTGAATTTCCTCTTCTACGTGCTGATCTGGCCTGCTCCCCAGCAAAATTAAGAGTGAAATTGCTGTCCCACCTCAGGATGATCACCCTTTGCTGGGGTGGCTAAATCATCAGCTGTCCTGACAGACAGCAAGCACGTCTTGTCATAGGTCCAGGTCCAGGCAACTCCTAAAGCATTTGAACACCACTACTCCAGGACAGGGATGGGACAAGGACTAGACTGACAGGAGAAGCATTACTCACAACCTTGGCTTTACTGCATATTTGTAACTGGTGAGATCCCCAAAACAGCCAGCGTGCACCTTTTGTGTTTTGTGATGCAGAACAGTTCTAAGAGACAGACCAGAAAAGACTCCCTTTTTGCCCTGTTTATGTGGAGTTTCTAATCAGAAGCCCCCCTGGTATAAGAGAGCTAATATCACCTTACACCATTCCCACCTTCGGTTCCCAACAGCCCGCCCTGTTTCCACCTGAATGGAACAGATCCCACCAGCTGCAACAGAAGTTAGACTGGGCTCCTGGAGACAGAGCTCAGAAGGGAAGGTGAGGAGACAGGTATGTCATGCTCCCAAAGAACACACAAGCACCTTCTTTAACACCAACTCTTTTCACCCTCACATTTATTTTTCTTTATTTAAAAAAAAAAAAAAAAAAAAAAAAAGTCTTTGCAAACAAGTCTCTTGTTCCTCCTTTCCAACTCAGTGGGATTGCTGCAAGCATTCCACGGCACACGACTCTTGGGAAGCAGAGAAAGTGCACCACAACTCCATAATATTTCCATAGGAAAAGCTGACTCATAACTTACATCTTCCTCGAAATGCCGACACAGGTTTGTGAGAAGCATCCCAGTGTCAATCCAAGGAGCAGCACTGGAGCCACCTGAGCTTGGCTCCGTGGCTCTAGCAGAGCAGGAGGCCCTCCTTTGCTGCCAGGCGCTGGCGATGGATTTTATCCTGCTGCAGCTCCTCGTGGTTTGGATGCCAGAGTTTCATGACAATTCTCTCAATATTTAGGGCGTAGACAGTGTGTGCTGGAATAACTTCTTTGTGTACCTAGAGGTAAGTTCAAAAACACGTTTCATGCTCATTTCCCCATGGAGAACCTGTGTCTGACAGGATGAGCAGAGCCAGCCCTGCCGGGCAGGAGCACAAGGAGAGCTCTAAGTTGCCAGCACTGGCACACCAGCCAGCACAGAACTGCTGCTTCTTACACCACTTTCTAAGGAAGTCATTATTTTGCTGCAAAACCATAAAAAAAAATTTTGTCTGACCAAACACAGCACAAATGCTTGACTACAGCACGTATTATTAACACTCTGCCTCCACAGCCTTGAGATAAAAATCTCCAGGCCTTTTCACAACAGCAGAGATCAAGGAGGGACAGAGGGGGTGGAATTTCTCACAGCTAGCTTTAGACATTTTAATTAGCCTGAATGCAAAAGAGAGGGGCCCACAGCCAGGCGTCTCCAGGGGAAGATGCATCCAGCCCACCTCAGACACCTCCACAGCGTCGGGGTGGTCACCGCAGCAGCCTGCGTGCCAGGACCCCAGTATTCCTCTAAGCACCCAGGCAGAAGATGAAGAGGAAAAAGGGACGTGCCAGGCAAGTCATTCAGGGCACTCCTATCAAAACCTCAGTCTAACTCAGTTCTGATACGATCGCTGCAGTCTTGCTGCAGAGGAAGAGTTCTTATGTAGAGACAGGGATTTCCTCACCAGCCTTCTCTGATCAAGGGGGGCAGAACAGGCCTGAGACCGTGAGTTGACTGTCAGCTGCTCCCTACTAGCAGGAGCAAGACAAAGCCAAATAATTGTAAATTTGAAAGGGAAAGACTGAAACAGACAGGAGGAGGATGAAATCAAATCCCTCTCCATGCATGTAAACTAAATTTGAGTGGTAGGTGGTACACAGGACAGTGTAGGTTGAAGAGCTTACCTGTAATGCCTCAAAAAGGTCGTACATGTTCACGGGAGGAAGGGATGCTGGCAAGGTGTCTCCAGAGCATGCCAGGAGTAGCGCTGCCTGCTGCTCGGCATCATCAGGCGGGGGCTGCGGAGCTAGACTCTGACCAGCAGAAGGTGTCACAGAGGTTGGAGGGCTGTACAGAGAGCAGGCAGGAAAGCCTTTCAGTCAAGGGAACAGCACTAGTTTGGGAAGAAACCCAGCAGGAGCTTGACCCAGCGTTTGTTTTTCTGTACTTGCTGATTTAGCCCTTGTGTATATGAAATTCTATTATCTGTAATTAAAACCTCTGAAATTCCAGTTTAATAAAAAACAATGGAAACTGATCCTCAGCATGCTTCAGACCTGCTTTATAACTAATTGCCATTTGGTAGCTTTTGTTATTCACAACCAAGAGTTTCCACCCAGTCTAAGACTTGATGGCACTCAAAACATTAAACTGAAAGAGCATAGCTGGAAGGCAGAGTTGTTTGGACTAGACTGCATTTATAGTGCTATAACCAAATTTTAAAACACCCACGACCTCCTGTCAACTGCTAGAAGCTTTGCCATAGACAAACACAACTTCGTGTACACACACACACTGCCAGACATAGCACGAGCTGTTTGACATTTTGGAAACCAAGATGACTCCGTAGCTTTAGTGACCAGAAAGCCCTGCAAAGGAACCGTTAATACATTTACACATTTGGACACAGGTCCTCATCTCGTGGCACAACGGCAGTGCCCCAACAAAGGCTGGGCTCTTCTGCCCAGAGGCAGTTGTCCTGAGAACTCACTCCTGTACCCCTCACTACAAGCGATAATTAGTAAGAATACTCAGAAGGCAAAGGGTCGCCTTGACAAGCCAGTAGGATGGGCACAGACAAGGAGGAGAGACCTACCACTGCCCTCAACTTTGCTGCTGAAAAATCCCCACATCCTTCCTCCCTGTTCAGCAGCACAGCCCTGCTACTTTCATTGTGCGTGAAAGCTAAACACCATTATTAACAGATTCCATTAAGTAAGAGAAACCAAACAGAGCAATTTCACCAAGCTACATTTGAAATTAACCATGTGCTGAGAGCTCCTTACCATTCAATTAAGTTGTTATAAGCAACAACACTGTTCTTCAGATATGGCTGAGGGTTAACATTGCTCCCAAAGGCGTATTTGAAGTGGCCATCTCTCAGGCGGTAGGCTTTCCGCCGGGATATTACAGAGGTCAGGATATCCTTAAGATGGTTCTGCAATGAAAAACCATTGTGGTATTATGGTCACACGTGCTGCTTTGTTCATCCTAGCAAGTTATGGCTATAAGAAGCACAACACCAACACACAAGACAGCAGCAGCGCTGCTGTGACCACAGGGATGTAAAGACACAAGGGGAACGAGATCTGGAACCCGGACAGGCTGCAGCATTTCTCTCTCAACCACCTGACAGAGCTGGACACAGAGAACATGGCATTGCGTGTGAGTACTGTATGAAAGCACGGTTCACAGGCTAATGTGATGTGCAGCTTCAAATGTCACAAGGAGGTTTCTTAAATGCTAGGGAATTCCCAGCCCCGATCCCTTTCACAAGTTAAGAGGTCTTACAATTCACATTAAACAATTACTTGCACTGAAATACCAGCTCTAAAACCAGAGTGAACGGTCAGTCACTTCACAAATTCGGCCTCCCTCCCACATGGGGAACTCAGGTTGACCTCTGGATCATGACTTGGAGAGACCATCCACACAGAGCTCCGAGTAACAGCTCCAAGTAACACTTGGATCTGACCAGATGTTGGGTAACGCGCCACTGAGGCCAAGAACTTCACCTGCAGCTACTCTCTGGTCTGCTACTTCCATGCCAGTTACGTGCATCTGTAGCTTTATCCAGCTCTTTAAAATGGTGCCACTCCATCGCTGTTTGTACGTGACAGTAGCAGCATTTACCAAACCAGCTACTTGAGCATACTAGAGTTCTTCATACACAAGTACTTTGTAATTAATGCCTGCAGGCACAAACCCAAGGCTTCACATCTCAGATGCACAAACCCAGAAGCCCTTTGCTTCTGATTTGACTCCTCCCAAGGCAATGGGGCAATTGGAGAAGCAAGTTTCCTCCCTCCAGTGAGGGAGGCCACCCCGTACTGCGCACAGAGCCTTTTGCTGCTGGCAGAAGGGGAACACCAGTGCTGGCCGGCCCCGTCTCACCTCCACAGCATAAACAACTGCTGTCACTGCCTCCTCCGTGACATTGTCTAGCCCGTGCTCGTAAGCAGTTACGATCATCCTTCCTTCCAGCTGGCCACGTGTAGGAAGCATCATGGTATGGGAACACAGCTTCAGGTCGTCATCCTCCTGAGGATCTTTTGCCACAAATTGCTGGGCTCCAGACAGCGGGTTCTGAGGCTGGAACCGGTGCTGGGATGAACACAAAATTAGAGCATAAGAAGATACAGCCTTGGTCAGAGCCTTTGGCTCATCTAGCCAAACATTACTTCTCCAACTGGAGAGCCAACACCTATCGAACATATCACAGGAAAAGTGATATCCCTGCCTCCCCCCCCCAAGGATAATCTTCCAACTCTCAATGATTTGGGACTGAAGAAATTTAAGCCAGTGTTGATATCCTTTTATTTAAGAACCCGTGAGCTCGTTTTGCAGCACCCTGAACCTCCTTTACTTCAGGTATCCACATCCTGCAGCAAGAAATTCTACAGCCTAAGAAGCTGTGCCACGAGTCGCCTACTCTGGTTTGCTCTGTACTTCCCACCTGCTACATTCATTTAGTTTTCCTGCAGTTCTCAAATGCGGTCACTGTCCCTTTTATCTCTTCACACTGCTCAGGCCAGTGATGATGTTAGTGGACTTTCACATCTTTCAGTCACTTCCTTCTATGCCGAGGAGTTCTCAGCTACTTAGTCATTTCTTGTGCAGAAGCCTTTTGCTAGTAGCTAAAAATACACCCGTATCGTTTAGCAACTGTAGTTTCCTACCAAGACAAAAGACGGTTATCCTGAGCTTGGGTGATTCTTACATTTCATTCGAGAATAAGGATTTAAGTGCAACAGCTCAGCCAAATTTCAGGTCTGGATTTTGTACGCTGGTCCCCGCGTGCGCTTTCAGTACCCTGAGCAGAGCTGTGCTGCTGAGCAGCCGCTGTTTGAGTGGGTTACGGCCACCTTTGAGAACTGAGTCAGTTATTTAGGGACAAAACATCACAGAACTTGAATCCATACCCGAAAGTAGCACACTTCCCAACCGATACGCATTCCAGCACAATTCCCTCGCTGTGCTTGTGCCTGAGTACTCGTGGTGGCGCCTGTGAAGTCTCAGTCCCCAGGCAGACAGGGAGGCAGTGGACAGAAAGCACTGATCTTTGGACCCAGACATATGCTTGGCCCAGCCCTAAAAATGCAAGGGAACTACACGACCCTGACTCATCCACCATGTGCTCCCAGAACTCCTGCCTTCCCGCTCTCTGCGAAAGATCGGGTGGCTCAGGAATAAACACTGCCATGAGGCATCATGACAAATGCATGCTTGACATATAAACAATGAACATACAGCAAAGTGGAGTTTTCACATCTTGGTTTCAGGCGAGGAAAGGGGGCCTGCTTTATTCAAAGGACAGTGTGGCATTTAACTCAAAGTGAAAAACCAATCCACCCACCAGTGATGCGAAAGCAGGTTTCCCTCACAGTAATTTGGAAGACTTAAGCTTTCATTACAGGAAAGCTGCATGCCTGGAAAAAAAGCCTTCCAAGTGTAAGCAACTCTAAGAGGAATGCGGTTTGGGAAACCAGAAGCCAATTAGAACAAACTTGTGGC